AGGAACGAGTCGGATTCTAGGCAGAATCTTGCTCAACCGGGGGAGAATGATGAGGATAGTTTAATAGTTTAATTATTATTATTATTATTATTATTATTATTATTATTATTATTATTATTATTATTATTATTATTATTATTATTATTTCTTATTTATATTATTAAGGTGGTTAGAAGATATTTTTTTACTTGTTTGATAAGTTAGGAATTGTGGGAGATCTTGAACTCTATTTATTAGCAGTCTGACAGAATGTACGAGCAGTTTATCGATTGAAATAAAAAATATGTTCTTGTATGGTTTATCGAGAGAGAGTATCTCTTTTATCCTTCCCACTCGTACGCTTTCCCTACATCAGTCTGTATTTGCATTTGCACTGTCTGTTGAGTTTTTTTTTTTTTTTTTTTTTTTTTTTTTTTTTTTTTTTTTTTTTTTTTGTCGACTAGAAGGTATCCATACATTCATTCCATGGCTTCATCACTCACTGCAGCCCACCAACTACTGTAAAGGGTTTATCACGTCTAGGGGATCCCCACGCAAAGAGGTGGGACTAATCCTCTCAGGAAAAGTGCAACGCCTCACTCACACTCCTCACGATAGTCAGGATCGATCACGTGACTTCTAGCTTTAAAAGGAATTTCATCCTCCACTAGTTACTACTTGACCTCACGCCCTGGAGGCTTCTATTGAGTTATATAATTTAATTTGATGTTTGAAAAAAATATTTTAATAAGCTTATGCAATAAAATGACATGTTTAGTTGCATATAAATATCACTTACACTATTTAAAATCACTTATTAACCACACAATATAATACGTCCCTAACTCTTTCGTGTTTTTGTCTATTAATGTTTATTTTAATCAACACATATTAATATTGCTTATTAGATTATCCAATAGTTAGTTTTAAAATATAATATTTAAATATAAAATTATGATTATTTATTTAAATAATATATAACTCAATCAAGGCAAGACCTACTGTTTAATCAAAACTATCATCACCAAAATTCATATATATATTTTTTTTTAGAGTGTGCACATAGCATGTACATTCCCCCACACTCACTGACTTCTAGCCCATTACTAGGCCCATCCTTACCTGTACAACTGAATCAAATTCGTAATCCATTAAGAACACACCCTCAGGCCCAAGTCTAATACCAATTCCAATTTGGGCCCTAAACAAAATGAAAAGTGAAAAATTTAGGGAAATTTTTAATCATCCTACGTGATTTGAAATATATTGTAATATTGCCTTTAATAACACTTTAATTGGAATTATACCTAATAGATAATGATTATTTGCATTCATGCCTACAATTAGTTACTTCTCTTTCTCTATCCTATCCCATGTTTTTTGTGCACGATTTTTGGACTGAACAGAGAAAGCATCAAATTTGAACCAGAACGAAAAAAAAAATAGGTATATTTGAGGTATATTTTTAGTATATATCTTAGATATATTTTATGTATATATGGGTTTTGCCCGTGAGAAACGATCTTCTCGTGAAAATATCTCAAGTGTATATCTTACGTATATTTTATGTATATGTGGGTTTTGAAATCTATTTTGAGAAACGATTGAAACTCGAGTATATATTTAAAATATATTTTATGTATATGTGGTATCGTGGACTTGAATTACGTGAATCTCGATTGTGTATTTTTGCATATTGTATGTATATTTTATGTATATGTGTGATGTGCAACTTTGGTATATACCAGCAACATATACCCGCAGCGTGTAAATTTTTATGCCCGAAATATACAAATTTTCATATCGATACATATACCGAAAATATACTATATATACCCACAACATATACCCGCAACATGTACATAATAGAAATATCTATCAACAAATCAAGCACACCAAGTGTTCGAAAATTATCCTCTGAGAAGTTTTTCGTTAGATCAGATAGAAAAAAAAGTATATATTAAACATATACACTGAACATATACTACATATTTTCACGCGGGTTAAAGAAAAAAAAATAAAAAATAAAAGAAAGGGTAAAGCACTTGAAGTCGTTGATGTCCACCGCAAACCGCTTGAAGTCGCCGACGACTCCCGATTTCTCACCTCGACGGCGACGATAAATGATAGAGCACGGATCCAATTCAAGTACCGTCTTCCACGCGCTACTCGCCAAGACCTTCCCATCAATAACGCCATTAAAAAGTTCCAGAAATTCCCAATCCACGAACCTGGTGGCCAGCAAATAAATGGCGCCCAACATGGACCTATTGAACACGACCTGCAAGTCGACGACCTGATTGTTCAGTGCCGCGTGATCGAAGATCGGGACGAGGCCATCCTCGATAGAGGACCGTGATCGTCGATGACGGAGGATCGAAGTGGGGCTTGGGGAAAAGATGGAGACGTGGGTTGTGCCGGTTTTTTGCAGTGAGATAATGGTGGAATATATGGAGATTGTGTAAATATGGTAGGGATATATCTTATTCTAAGTTAATGATCTAATTAAAAGCCAGATGATCTAATTAAAAGCCAGAAAATCCCGTAACTGACAATGCTAGTATATCTGTAATATTTTTGCTTTCAAATTACAATTTTATAAATAAATCTAATTAAGCCGTAAAAATGTTATATAAATGGTTTTGAATGGTGGTGGGTGCAAATTCCTCAAAAATTTATAACTACCCATTTTTAACAATGATTTTACAAAATAGTTAAAAGCCATACACAATACCCAATTTACTCTAAACATTAGACAAAATTGACACACACGAAAAAAAAATTAAAAATAAATATCAAATAAAGAATTGAAAACTCAACTGCTCTCATCATCTTTCTCTCTCTTCCTCTTTTTTATGTTTTCTCTTTCTTCTCATCCTTCTCTCTCTTCCTCTTTTTTGTTCTATGTCTTCCTTCTCACTCTACGTCTCGTCCCAATTTTTCTTCTCTTATTTCCTTCTTTTTCTTCTTCTTTCTTATTAAAACATTAATACCTAATAATAAAGAAAATGATCAATATGATATATATATACACGTAACAATTAAATTAAATAAAAGCATGAAAAAATTATTAAATTAGATTAACAATAATAATAACAACAATAAAATAGAATGGATACATATAAATTATAAATCACAGAAATCAGATGAGTACGAAGAATTAAAAAACATTCGATGTAATAACAAAATATAACATAACAACAGTTAATCAACATGAAAACAACATTTGAGTAACATAAAAGAAAGTATTATGCATAAATCAAAAACACATTTGAAGAGCACTCCATAATCCATATATCCTCATCATCCATATATCCTCATCATGAGATCTCATGGCTTTGAAATTCGAAACAGACCCAATATCCAAAGACATCAAAACACAACAAATTAGAAAAGTGTAGAACAAATTGAAAACTCAATAAAAATTGCAACTTTGTTCAGCAAGAGTAAACCAAACATGACAGATAAAACAATAAAAAAGAAAAAGGAAATCGCCTCTCTATATCTCTAAACAAACATCAAAATAGAGATTTCATGAAGACCATAGGAGATCATAAAAAGAATAATCCAAAAAAAAGATAAATACCGAGCAATTGCCTAGGGCTCCGATTATTTATTTATTTATTTATTTATTTATTTATTTATTTTTTAAGAGAAATGAGCAATGAACTTCTTCTTGTTCATTACAATGGGAATTGGATCACATAAGTAAACTATGAGTGATTTGAGGTCGGTGGCATATTTCACAAAGAAACACCAACCAAAAAAATCATTATAACCACCGAACAACATGAAAATAACTATTGATCACCATAAAAAAGCCCAATATACAATACTAAAAATCACAAACAGTGTGTAAACTCACGCATTGTGCATCATATTTCTTAAAAAAATGTCGACCCTAAAATCCTGTAAACTTCGACTTCGATTACAAAATTGAGAAATTTCCAAAGCCATATCTTGGTTCTACTTCCAATTGTATGCACGCGGCCAAACCGGAGCAAAACCGCAATTTGCCTAACTGGTTCTGCAGTGACACCGCCAAGATGATTTCATGGTCTCCACCATTAAAGACGAGGACAGCTAGTCGGCGTTGTCGTCCTCCGCGGAGGCGTTGAGTGCGAGTTAGTGGCAACTCTAGCCAGCGCCGACAGACCAACGAACAGCGAATCCGGTTGCCAGATCTCAACTGTTGAAAGATCAGGGCGAGGCATTCTCGGTAGTACATAAGAAGAAGGGCTTCTGACAGAATTTTTCCTTTTCTTGGACTCAATCACAAAATTTGAACTTTTTTTTTTCTGCAAATCTAGTTACAACCATTGAACATGTAAGAAAAAATAACGCACAGAAAAACAAGAAGCTTTAATATGAGAATGAAGCAATCTATTGAACAAAAGCAGTTGCCTAATAACTGACACATAAAATAAGACGTGCCATTTAATATTAAAAAAAAATAAAAAATAGTAAAACCGCCCAAAAAAGCAAAACACCGGTTACATGATGGAAAAATTCAAAATTTGAAAAAGGGGTAAAAATGAAAATGAAATGGAGTAAAATTGACTAAATAGTGAGAAGGTGTTTTGTTGTAAACTGTTCATGGAATCAGTCAAGGGGCGTCAATTTTTCCCCACATATTCATATATTAATCAAAACTATCATCACCAAAATTCATATATTTTCTTTTTTAGAGTGTGCACAT